TGTGTGTGTGTGTGTGTGTGTGTGTGTGTGTGTGTGTGTGTGTGTGTGTAATACTTACATATACATGGGCTGTAGCTGTAAGTGGGATGTCTTCTGAGGTCCTTGATATCCATAAGAGTCAAAACCACCTATGAAATCAACTGCAATAAAAGAGAAAATATATTCAGTACCAAAGTTACCTCGGGCAGAGCTCAACAATCCATCAGTAGTGAACTTCCAGGCCTATCTGACAGTCTGCTAATAATCAGTAAGAGTAACTAATTGCCTAAATGTATCAGAAAAGATCCTGCTTCCAACGGATATTAGATGATAATGGAGAAAAAGTGCAAGGAAGATAAATCATTTTCACACTTCTTAGCTGACAGGTGCTATTAATAATGTAATTTATGTATGAGGCACAGATGTATTCAATTGGGAATATAGTACTATATTATAAGAAGTAATCAGTGGAGGAAAAAAGAGTTTACAATCCAGAAGAGAGTTCATGTTAATTTTAGAATAAACTATTGATAAGTAATGTAGAATGTATCTCTCATAAATAATGTCTCTCTCACTAAAAGGGTACATTTTGATTATTTATGTAGTTTAAAAACGGCAACAGCAATTATGTCTTCCTATCCTTATTAGTAAATATGTAACATATGAGCATGGAAACCTAAATCTGACCTAAATCTGACTACAATGTAATGTCTGTCAAGAATGTGTCTAGAAAAGATCTACAATAAATTAAAATATGCAAATGTATTGACAATGTATTAACCATTAAAACAACACAACTGCACATAGTTTCTGACAAAAAAATACAATACTGCAGTAGTATATTATTATATAATATATTACAGTGTTTATTTTGATCTCTTACAATTTATGACAAATGTTTAACCTAGTGGGGATTTGCGTTGTACCCATACCCTTATGTATGATCTCTAAATGTATTTATGAAATAGTTATAATATTGATTGTTCATCATCAGGGTAAATATCTTTATGGGTGGCTATATCAGTCCTTGGTGGAAAACTAGCTACTTAGTAACTTTATGGAATGCGTTTATATTTGCTATATATCATTTAGATAAATGAAAATAGTTCACGCTGTTTGAGGAACTAAATTCGTAATTTGGTTAAAAAAGTATTCTTTATTATGATTAGTCAGGTTGGTTGGTGATTGCTGAGGGTGAATATACACCATAAACTCAAGGTATATAGATATTTAATTCAAGAAATAGTATAGTTTCAGAGGCAGAACCAGATAACAATAATATTCTTTCTATCACAGGAAGTAGTTTTAAAAAAAAAAAAAGGATAATGAAGGAAAACTATTAAGGCAAAACAGAGAGAACATCATTCTAAACACTTTTATTCAGAAGACAAAAGGCAGAAAACTGAATGCACACAGAAATTGCACCAACATACTTTTTGCTTTTATTTGTACAGCAGCATTGCAGGTGGGATGGTTAGGTAGAGGGCGTATATTGGTGTAGCAGCACACACTAAGCAAGCAAGGATGTCTTCACTGTGAGCAGTGGGGGAGGAAAGAATGGTGTTGGTGTAAAATTAATAAAAGGTAGACTTGTGCACAGTGAAGAAATGTGTTTGGCAGGACCACTTCATTTGGCGGGGTGGGGGATTTAGGATTATATCTATGCTTTGGTCCGGCTTGTCTGAATTTTGTTACATACATTTTTTTTTAAATTGGGAAATTTTGGGTAGCTAAGAAACTTTAACCTTCATCGTTCTATAGTAATTAATTGTAATGTTTTTCCCTTTGCTAACATGTATTAATGAAAAAAGGGGAGCACAAGTAATTTTAGGTTAAAAAAAAGAGTATTATCCAAAATGGAAGAAAAAAGTCCGTGGACAACTGATGACCCACTCGCTCCTTCTACCTTGAGAAAAGCAATGAAAAGGGGTGACTATCCTTTAGTGTGAGGAAAAACCACTGTACCTTATCAGCCTATATAAACTACATCTGTAGAGGTTGCAGGTGCCACAAGGCTCAATCAGCCAGAGCAAAGCCACTACAATTTAAGGCATTTGAAAAAACAGGGTCACCTGCAGCAGGAGGAGATTTTTTTTTTCACTGCCAGATTCTAAAAGACTTTTACAAAGTTAGAAAAATAATTTGAAAAAAGAGAGATGTGTCAACTGGATCACAGCTAGCGGATGACAACGCTTTAAGTACCACAATGAAAAGCAGTGTAACTCAACTTTGGGAGATTCAACTTGAGAAATTTTATTTGCTC